ATATATATATATATATATATTTTTTTATTCACTGTCAGAAATAGCGTAATCTAGACACTTAAAACTTTGGACATACATTTTACTTCCAACTTGGCTAATTGAACAGTGGTACCACAGTGACTGCAGTTTTAAAATGGATGTAATAGTTTTGATTTTCTTTCTTCTGTTTTTACTTTTCTGGTTTCTTTAACTAGTTCCCCCTATCATCTTCATCAAAGCACCCTGGCAGGAGAGAATGGTACATTGTACGTCAAGGAAAATACTTTCATGTGAATTAAGCACATTAGAGCTCAGATTACCTCTTTGCCCTCAACCTGAAGAAGTAACCTGAGAGAATCCCTCAGCTGAAGAAGCTTTTTTACCTCCTCATCCTGCTCCAGTCGTATCTACAACAAAGAAAAACTGTATTATGCAACCTGAGAAATCCAATACAACATACCTGGAAAAGAAACATGTAATGTAGTGGAAGATTGAATAATCAGTTCAATAAACTGATAGGTTGCACAACAGAATAGAACAGAGTAGAAAATATTAGGGTGTAACAGTGGCAATCAAATGTAGACAAAAGACAATAGACTAAATCATATTAAATAACACTGTTAAGGGGTGCAGCAGAAAAGAAGCCGACAGAAAGAAAAAAAAATATTCATTCATATATTTAATAAAGACATATTCAGGTATGACAGGGAAATGCTTCATTAAGAAAAAAAGAAAAAGGGGATTTAAAGAATGATGGTAAAACTGTAATTATTATTGCTGTGGAAACAAACACGCCATGGTATAAACTAGTACAGGCCATAGTTCTGTATTCATCGAAGAGATTTCTCTTTTTATATGAGGAAAATGAAGATTTTTTTTTTCTATGCAACACTTGACAGTTAAGTCAAGCAATGTTTGCATTTTTTCTTAGAACTAAAATAGATTTTAGATTTTTTTTTGGCTTCCTTCTGGAGGCTGAGGTCTGGCATGTCTGAACGGGTCAGTGTTTTGCCCAGGAAGAACTAGAAAAACATGTAACGCTCCCAGTATTCACACTAACAGTCAGTTTCTACACCAGCGCCCTTCTCTGGAAGCAGGAAAAAGCAACATTTTGGAAAGCAGACTGGAAACCAGTGGCTGGAGAAATTAATTCCATTCCAAAAACATAGGAATCCTTCAGTTTTATCCTTGAGAAAAGGCGGGCAATGAGTTTGGCTGTAAGCTGAACTAAGAAGGGGGTGGGGGGTGGGGGTGCAATGGTCTCTCACATGGAAAGGGGTTTTGGTGGTTTTGACTAAGAACGAAACTGAAACAAAAGATAACTAACTGAATATAAAAAAGGTTTTCTTTCATTTTTTTTATGACAAGTATACCAGTTTGGTGGCTGATTACAACTAAAGGAAAACAGTGCAAGAGTTCATGTTTGGGACTGGTTTAAACGGAGGGAGTCAATATGTAGTCAATATATTTCAGAATAACATAATTTGGAGACAACCAGGAAAACAGAGAGAAGACACTAACAGTTATAATCGAGGGCAGAATAGGAAGTTATACTGTCCTCATGCATTTAATAATGTCATGTAAGAAAGTTACAATAATCAAGTAACACTGACCGTTAAACATAGAAAAGTTGTGGGGCGGTTCAAGTCTAATTGTTCCTTTCTATACGAGGCTGGAAGCTTTTTGCTACGTTCACACGGCACGCGTTTCATTTTTGATGCTTTTACACATTGAGGTCAGATGTGACTCAGGAGCATCCTTCATGCTCCTGAAGCATCTCCAGTAAAGTGTGAACAGATGCATCTGATGCTTGTGCTGCTCCTGTGTTCAATAGCAGAAAGTAGCTTTGCTATATTTGCTGTCATAAGCTGAAAAAAAAGCAGCTTTAATATGCTTTTATTCAAGTTTTTATATGATCCTGCCTTCAAATATTATTTTGCTGTTGGAGCCCGGTTGCTTCTTGGGGGTTTCCCCTACTGTTTGTTGAAGTTGGAAGTAGATGTTAGTGTTTTGCAGGTATGTGGTACAAACTGGAGGCACCAGAATATTAAAAGCAATCATGTTTTGCCAGCAGGTTTCAACATTTTGATTTAATGTAGGCATTAATAAAATGTCTCAGAAGAGTGTTCATAGCTCCCTGCACCAGCAGTGTTGTGTCTGTCTCCCTGCCAGCTCCCAGATCAGCCTTTCTGATTTGTTGATGTGGAGCGTCGAGCAGCAGAAGTTTAATTTTTCCAACTCCAGCAGCTGCTGCTTGTTAAGCGCATCACGCACCACAGATGTTCAGAAGCTCATGAGGTGCTGCATCAGCTGCTCAGATGCGTCAAGATGGGCTGCAGGACCCTTGGATGCTTGTCAACCATAGACTTTGCATGTAGAAGGGCTGCTTCTGCTGCCCAAAGCGCATCTAGTGTGAACGTAGCATTAAAATATGGCTGAAAATGTATTCGGATTAATCGCGATTAATGAATTATTGAAATAATTGTCAACTAATTGAGTAATCGATTAAGCATTAACTGGAGTATAGAGACATAGAAACATGCTTTTAGCTGACAGAGCAACAACTTAGAGTAGTGATTATATCAAAACTTGCAAAAAAGACAAATATTTTGTATTAATTTTTTTTTAAATATCCATTAATATGCTCTATCCAGAGCTCCTGAAGTGAAAGCTTTACTTGCACTTGGTTTATTTCTGTAAATAAAGTTTTCTTTAAGGATCCTTTCACTGTATGATTATTAATTGATTAATCTAATTATTTTTTAGCAAAAACAATAGTTAGTTGCAGTCCTACTTTAGAGGCGTTCTATCAGAGATAAACTTATTTAATCTAAATCAGCATCATTAGGGCTGTTGATTTAGAGCTGTAGCTAAATATTGATAAAACCAATATTCTGTTTCCTTGTGATTGAAACAAAAAGAATAATACAAAAACTTTAATATTTGTTCCAATAATTAATCTAATCAGAATCATAAAAAAAGATTAAAAAAAAAATAAACCAGGTGTTATGATTGTCAGACATCTTTAGTGTCACATGCAGGACTGAGATAACACTTGCTGAGTAACTGACCGCAATGATTCCTTATAATCTAAGGTTCTCAAGAGGAAATACCTGCATTTCTCCACCTCACACAAGTTTATCTTTGAGGCGGAGTTCAATTATCTTAGTGTCTTGTTTACAAATGACAGTAAACAGAAAGAAGGATGAATAAAAGGATTAGGGTCTCATCCGTAGTAAAAAAACAAGAATCTCAAAGTTCACATTTCTATTCAGTCTCTCACCTGCAGTCATGAGATAGAGCTCAGGTTTAAAAGAATCAGATTCTAAAAAATAAACGGTTAACTCTATATACTAAAGGACACCATCCTGTCTTGTATTATCTCTGCTGGAACCAATGTTAAACAAGACAAAGCGTAGTTTGTTTGACCCAGAGGCCATATAACGTTCAATAGGTCATCCAAATGTGAACGGGATGTGAAACTGCAAGCATAACGCTTTAAGGGCCTTACTCAGGTTGCAATGGTTAGAAAAAGCTGGTTATGGGTGTTGATTTGGCAAGATTAATGAAGCATGACAGTAAATAGGATAACTGTGTAATTCAATGCAAGGTAAAACTTTGACAACGTAAACAGTTTTTGTTGAGACTTCTTGTTGTATCTCCCTAAGGATAAATCCTCTTATTCCTAAAAGGTAAATAAGTTTCAGGTCCTGCTTTACTTCCTGAATGTACAAAGGACAGACAGAGAAAAATAACCCTGCAGTTTCTGTTTACCGTGTGAATAGAAGAGGCAATTTTCTCAACGAATGGAGCGAGGTTCTCTGCAGCCTTCAGCCCATCCTGAAAAAAACTGACATTGGAAAACAACACACGCTGAGTTATGATGGTATCTGAGTTCAAATACCTTCGTTTTCGGCAAACATCACATGCCCAGTTGCTTAGTACCCAAGTAAAAGGATGGAATATCATAAAAGAGGAGAAAAATGGAGAGCATTTTGATCCAAACAGTTGGTTATTTCTTATCACTCATCTCAGGATGTAAAACTAATGTATCAAATATTGATCAATAACAGAGTGAAATATTCCCAGCCTTTATTTCTTGCTATTTTGAATAATATGGCTAATAAATGACTTATGTGGGATATTTTAAACAGCAATGTCAGACTAAAAGTTTGATCATTTTATTGTTCTTCATTCCCGGCTGGTCTCCCGTTTGCATGATTTACTTCACCTCAACCATCTTGTTTGGCATGCAGGCATTCAACCAGTGACTCTGATAAGGTCTTATGAAGCTCCAAGTAGGATGCAGGCTTGATTATACTCCATAGCATCTTTATAGGGTCAGGCCAGTATGGTGTCCAGTACTGTAACACCATGGTCAATGAAGTGAGGGGCAAATGTAAAGTCAATTCAATTTTCAATTCAGTTTATTTATATAGCGCCAAATTCACAACACATGTCATCTCAAGGCACTTTAAAGTTCAACCAGATCATACAGTCAAATTGATTCAGAGTTTTCTATCTAAGGAAAACCAGTTGATTGCATCGACTCATTGACTCTTCAACAATCCCTCACACTAAGCATGCTTGTAGCGACAGTGGAGAGAAAAAACTCCCTTTTAACAGGAAGAAACCTCCAGCAGAACCAGGCTCAGTGTGAGCGGCCATCTGCTGAGGCCGACTGGGGTTCAAGGAGACAGAAGCAGACAAAAGTCTTGTTGGAAAATGACACAAGCATTTCCATAAAGCTTTTCACCAGAATGAAGCATGAAATGGTAAAAAAAAAAAAAAAAAAAAACATTTTTAGAAGATTACTGCATCAATAGTAGACACAACAGACCCAAATTATCATTGACTGTGGAGCATCAGGCTTGAATTCAAGAAAACTGGATTATAATCCTCTCTGCTCTTCCTCTTTGATTATTTTGATTTACTTCTATTTGAAGACATTACTTTAAACCATCCCTTCCTTTTCTCAGTGGAAGATACTTGAAGCTTATGTATAGTGTTTCGTCTGTTTCTACTGACCCAGACTTGGTTTATGCTGGACACATCCACAAGGTCTGCACCGCCGAATTACATCATTTCAGATTCCACAACCCTCCACTTGCTGCTGTTAGGACAGATTTTCCTCCTCGCTCACCAAGGAAAATGTATAAAAACTAAGTGGACAGCTCCACACGGAAAAACATGGTGGGCGAGAAACTCCTACTGGCGAGGGTGTCCAAATATAGCAATTCAGCCAGATCTCATGAAAAATTTTGAAAAAACTCAACAGGCTTTGACAAATTTAGAAATAGCTTTCTTTTCTACTTCCTTGCATAGTGTGGTGTTGTACAGTAAGCTTGCATTTTAGGCTGGAGTTGGCCTAAATACCTGCAGACTTGTCCATCTGTCTCACTTCTGCCTAAAACATATGTGCATTCAACATAACTGAGCCGTAAGAGAACATTTAGTGGCACGGGGAAAAACACTGCTATAGCTTTGCTTTAAAAAGGGGTGTAACACTATGAATTCTGGGTTTTCAGTTCAATTCAGTTTTAAACCAGCTGACTGCATCAAGTTATGGACTTTGCAGGATCCGCTCCTCCTGAATTAGCATATGGAGACTGAAGACATTATTTTGCATTGTGTCAATGACACTGCAGTAATCCCTGACATGAAGTGAAAGTGGAAGAAATCTAAATTACAAGAATTAAAGGACATTTTTCACCCCTAGTGTAGTGAATTTACACGGTATAGGTACACTTTCTGAAATGAGTGAAAAGAAAATGTTGAACCTTAAGGATCTGCATTGTTACATAAGATTTGCAATTTTCTATAGTCTGATAAACCATACAAAATATTGTTTGTTGAGACTGACCTGAGCTGGGCTTGGAAATATTTAATAAGGCTTTGGAGAAGGTCAGGTCCCTGACGCACCTTCAGCTCTTGGATCTTCAACAGATACTGAAAGCACAAACAAAACTTTAGACCAAAATGACTCCTTGACAAAACACCTTATGGACAATTTTATTCTTGTTGCTAGTGCTCAGCTGCACTCTTTCCAGTATGTCTTTATGTTCCTTCAAAGGTTACATTTACAACACATTGGTTGGTCAATGAACCTTTAAAGACCTCAGAGAGGTTTAGCTGTGTGTAGAGAGAGGACTACAGTAATTGCACCATTAAACACAATAGGAAACAATCCTTCTTGCAGCTCAGTGATCTGCTTTTGGTATGTTTATATTAATGCCTGTTTGTGAGTTCTTTATTAACATATGCATAATGGATGAGGAGAGACAGGCTAAGGGATGCTGTGCAATAAATGGATACTTGATTCTACCTGCCTATTCTTTACATCAGGGTTTTCCACTGTTACTTGTGCACCAAGGCTAAATACTTCGCTGAAACTATATAAACAACACTTTTTGAATGTATTCACTCAATTTGCTTGTTTCAGTTATATCTAATTAGGTACGCTGGGACTAGAGATGCATCAAGAAATCATCTGTTGACCAAAGTTGGCTCATACGTAGCTTATTTTGCACTGATGAGCCCAGGGAACCAAAAATATACAGTAGGCTACCTCTAATTAGTTCATGCTTTACAAGCTCTACCAGGGTGCACTATGATGTCAGCAATATTCAGCAGGACTGAAATAGTTAAAGAGGAAGCCAGAGGAGGCAGAGATATTCAAGAAAGTATTTATAAAAAACATATTTTCCAGTTAGCGAGGCAGTGAGAGGGCGAGAGAGAAAGTATGATTTTCCATTGATAACAAAGGTAAAAGAGAAGACATCAAAGTCTCCCCGTTTAATCCTTCTGAGTTCCTGTCTGTCATAAATCATGCAGAATTTTTAAATGCTTGTAGCTTTGTAAACATTTCACATTCAAAATAAGGTCAACATTTTCAATTGAATACACAAGGACATCAACCATGATATATACTGATAGAACATCCTAAAGACAGCTTAAAATGGCTCTTCTGTTATAGTCTTTGTTATAAAACTCAAAACTAGGGCTAGGAAATAAATTGCATATGCAATATAATTACACTTTAAGAAAATGTAAATTTCCAATCGCAGAGGCACTAAATTAGGTAACATTACATTTAACGAGTGTAAGACACTAACTTTTTCACTCCAGATCTTTAGGAGTCGGTAAAAAGAGGGTTTTGCTGGACAACGAGGGGAAAGGAGAGTTAAAGCTAGCATGCAGATCCACACAGCAGTAAGCCCAGCATCAAGCAAGCTTTTAAGGTCATGAAAAAAACCAAACCCTAAAGTTAAAGATCTACATATTTTTGGTATGTGCAAATTAAAAAAATAAAAAATAAATCACAAAATTGCAATTTGGATTTTTGACTAAATTGCTCAGCCCTACAAAAAACCCTGTTCTACCACAAGCACAGTCTCTCACAGAGCAAAGCACCATAAATCACCATAATGATAAATCACTGGTGGAAGGTTAGAATATTTTGCTTTCTGAATGTTTTTGATTGCACTTTTTCCCCCTAAAAGTAATCGTCACATAAAAGTCTTGCAAAGATTAAACATATAAAAAGACTAAATTGTGTATCTCTTTGTGTATCTCTGCATTCTTCTTTTTTATTTAGAGGTTACTACAAAAATAACAGATGGAACAATAATCAAGTGACAACAAATGTAAACATCAACATCATGCTTCTTGTATCAGCAATTTGTGCTGCAATACTATTGCTTGCTTCAAAACAGGAAGAAAAAGTAGATACTGAGATACCGTTCCATTATGTTTTTTGTTCTTTTCTCTTCCTTGCAGCAGTTAACCCTATGCTCCCCACAATAAGGGTTCATGTGTTGGAAAAATATCACTAGGATATCCAACAGGAAACGTGTCCTAGTTCTGTGCTATAAAAAAATTATTTGTATCTCTTGAACGTTTTCATTTTTTTTCCCCTGCAGCCAGAAACTGCAATTGTATTTATTCTGACGTGTTAGGCTAAAAATAATAATGGATGTGTAAGGAAAAATGTCAATGGCAGATGGAATAGGCAACCGACAAGGCAGACCACCCATGTTAGAATAAATAAAACCCACTTCAGGTAAGCAGCAGAGTCTAGGTTTTAATATTTTGACTGGCCCTGATCCCTGCCCCCTCTCACCTCACACATCTGCAGCTGGAAGATCCTCCTCTCCCTTTCCATGTCCTCCCCTCCGTCGGATCCCTCTCTCCTGATCAGTCCCAGCTGCCGCGCCTTCTCCCTTCTATCCTTTTCCAACTTTCCCCTATAAAGATTGGTAGGAAAGAAAAATGTAAGCCAACATAGAGAGGATTGTTCTCAACCATTTAACAGTATCACAAGGTATAAAATCATTTTTTACACATGTAATTTAGCCTAATTATATTTTAAAATGCTTTTTTTAAAACTAGTTAATTTATCTTCTTAAGCAGCAAAAAAGTGGTGTCTCTTCTTATCATTAGATCTGCTAGACCTTCATGCACTCTTCACTTCACTCAGCTCAGCTGACCAGCTGCTTCTTTAGGTGCCTAAACAAGCAAATGTCTTTTTAGTACAGACATTTGTAGTTTCTTACTTTTACCTTGTTATGCTTTTATTGTTTTTAATCAATTCAAGTCCTCTGAGTTGGTGTATTGGTTTGCTGTTGTTCACTAAACAGCCCTTTGGTCCTTGAGAAATAATTAAATAAAGTTGGATTGGATCGCAGCGTTCTCTCTCGTTCGCACTTTTTGTGATCTTTTTTTATGCCTGAACACCAGAGAGTAGTGCAGATGTGAGGAAGAGAAAACAATGAAAATTTTTTATCTTTTCTTCAGCGTAATATAAAAGGTGTGGTATGAGTTTGTACTCAGGATCTTGAGACAAGACCGTTTAGAACTGGATGTTTTTTTTGCATATAACTAGAGCCTAAATTGTTTATCTTTTCTTTTCTGCTGAATCGCTAAACTCAGTATAACGTATTTGTGAGAATAATTTTATCTCCATAGTTCTAAATTTCATTTAGGTCTAAACTTTGAAAGGTCTGTTGTAGCACAAAAACACGCTTTGATCTAAACCCTTTGGCTTTGGCTATATGTGCAGGGTTGTAGTTTTGCTGTGTGATCAACTTTAGACCCAGTCAAAGAACTTCACTGTATTTAGCTTTATTCATGCTCTCTAGAACTCTGGCCAGGTTCTGTGCTGCCACAGCATGATGCTGCCATCACTATGTTTTCCTGTAGGAATGTGTGAAATGTTATTTCTCTTCCACAAATAGTGAGAAGCCTGTAGTGCAAAGAGTGAAGCTCTGGTTTTATCGGCTCTGTTTGTCCTGCATATCGGTAAGCCGATATGTTGTTATATTTTGTTCTATTTATATTTGTTCTATTTCTTTCTTCTACTCTATTTTTGGAAGATGCATTGAAATCAGCTCTATTAGGTGTTCAAAGCTTGCTTTAAAATGTCTAATAGATGATGGGATTCAAATGATGGGATTCAAAACCTGCTTTACGCCACTTTTCCCTGATCTGTCTTTGTGTTTCTTGGTCGGCATCATACTGCTTGTTCACTAATGTTCTCTAACAAATCCTAGGTCATTCCCAGAACAGCCGGACTTATATTCAAGTTACACAAAGAGGGAATTTAATTACAGAAAAATGATATTTGAAGCCATTTTGTTTAAAATCAATTAAAGGGATAACAGATTAAACTAACTGCTTTTCAGAATTGATTTGTAGAGGGGGGAAAAAACTATGCATAACTTTCTTTCTACCATTTACTAGATAAAATCTCAAAAGGTTAAAATTAATTAGTTTGAAAGTGACAAAATATGAAAAAGGACAAAGTGTATGGTAAATTTCTGTCTTAAATCCAGCTCTTTTTTCTTAGAACTAAAATAGATTTTAGATTTTTTTTTGGCTTCCTTCTGGAGGCTGAGGTCTGGCATGTCTGAACGGGTCAGTGTTTTGCACATGAAGAACTAGAAAAACATGTAACGCTCCCAGTATTCACACTAACAGTCAGTTTCTACAGCAGTGCCCTTCTCTGGAAGCAGGAAAAAGCAACATTTTGGAAAGCAGACTGGAAACCAGTGGCTGGAGAAATTAATTCCATTCCAAAAACATAGGAATCCTTCAGTTTTATCCTTGAGAAAAGGCGGGCAATGAGTTTGGCTGTAAGCTGAACTAAGAAGGGGGTGGGGGGTGGGGGTGCAATGGTCTCTCACATGGAAAGGGGTTTTGGTGGTTTTGACTAAGAACGAAACTGAAACAAAAGATAACTAACTGAATATAAAAAAGGTTTTCTTTCATTTTTTTTATGACAAGTATACCAGTTTGGTGGCTGATTACAACTAAAGGAAAACAGTGCAAGAGTGCATGTTTGGGACTGGTTTAAACGGAGGGAGTCAATATGTAGTCAATATATTTCAGGATAACATAATTTGGAGACAACCAGGAAAACAGAGAGAAGACACTAACAGTTATAATCGAGGGCAGAATAGGAAGTTATACTGTCCTCATGCATTTAATAATGTCATGTAAGAATGTTACAATAATCAAGTAACACTGACCGTTAAACATAGAAAAGTTGTGGGGCGGTTCAAGTCTAATTGTTCCTTTCTATACGAGGCTGGAAGCTTTTTGCTACGTTCACACGGCACGCGTTTCATTTTTGATGCTTTTACACATTGAGGTCAGATGTGACTCAGGAGCATCCTTCATGCTCCTGAAGCATCTCCAGTAAAGTGTGAACAGATGCATCTGATGCTTGTGCTGCTCCTGTGTTCAATAGCAGAAAGTAGCTTTGCTATATTTGCTGTCATAAGCTGAAAAAAAAGCAGCTTTAATATGCTTTTATTCAAGTTTTTATATGATCCTGCCTTCAAATATTATTTTGCTGTTGGAGCCCGGTTGCTTCTTGGGGGTTTCCCCTACTGTTTGTTGAAGTTGGAAGTAGATGTTAGTGTTTTGCAGGTATGTGGTACAAACTGGAGGCACCAGAATATTAAAAGCAATCATGTTTTGCCAGCAGGTTTCAACATTTTGATTTAATGTAGGCATTAATAAAATGTCTCAGAAGAGTGTTCATAGCTCCCTGCACCAGCAGTGTTGTGTCTGTCTCCCTGCCAGCTCCCAGATCAGCCTTTCTGATTTGTTGATGTGGAGCGTCGAGCAGCAGAAGTTTAATTTTTCCAACTCCAGCAGCTGCTGCTTGTTAAGCGCATCACGCACCACAGATGTTCAGAAGCTCATGAGGTGCTGCATCAGCTGCTCAGATGCGTCAAGATGGGCTGCAGGACCCTTGGATGCTTGTCAACCATAGACTTTGCATGTAGAAGGGCTGCTTCTGCTGCCCAAAGCGCATCTAGTGTGAACGTAGCATTAAAATATGGCTGAAAATGTATTCGGATTAATCGCGATTAATGAATTATTGAAATAATTGTCAACTAATTGAGTAATCGATTAAGCATTAACTGGAGTATAGAGACATAGAAACATGCTTTTAGCTGACAGAGCAACAACTTAGAGTAGTGATTATATCAAAACTTGCAAAAAAGACAAATATTTTGTATTAATTTTTTTTTAAATATCCATTAATATGCTCTATCCAGAGCTCCTGAAGTGAAAGCTTTACTTGCACTTGGTTTATTTCTGTAAATAAAGTTTTCTTTAAGGATCCTTTCACTGTATGATTATTAATTGATTAATCTAATTATTTTTTAGCAAAAACAATAGTTAGTTGCAGTCCTACTTTAGAGGCGTTCTATCAGAGATAAACTTATTTAATCTAAATCAGCATCATTAGGGCTGTTGATTTAAAGCTGGAGCTCAATAGTGATAAAACTAAATTCTGTTTCCTTGTGATTTTAAGAGAGAATATACGAAAACTTTAATATTTGTTCCAATAATTAATCTAATCAGAATCATANGGACAGATGATCAACAGTAACGTAATCAACCACGTGACCAAATCGCGCTTGGGCGACAACAATGGCTGCCGCCGGAGAGTTGAGGTGAGTAGATTCTGCTATTAGGTCTGTTCTAGAAGATATCGACAGCAAATTAATTTTAAAAGAGGAAAAGAGAAACGCGATCAAGTCTCATCTTCTTATTCTAGGCGTGAAACTGCACGCCTTGATTTTTGTTGACAACAACTATGCATCGCTTAACATACGTCACGCACTCCGTTGCTCTTATTGGTTGTAGGTCTATCCAATTGAGTGCAGAGGCATTTTTTCCCTGGTTCATTCGAAACACGCCCCATAATCACAGCTCTATGGAGCAGTATCAGACTCATATTCTGACTAGAATTGAGTAGGACTACGTCAGGCTACTAAAATGTTGCAGCCAACAGAATGACAGTAAAAAAAAATATTTACAATTTAATGTCGTAATCCTTCCAACTTTTCTCCATGTGTTTCTTGAGTTCCTGTAAGAGAAGAGAGTTGTTATAGAACAGAGATGTACATGCTTCGATGACGTTAACCTTGCAGATCAGGATTCTAGTGGCAAACTGCCATTTGTCTCAATGACAGAGAAACAAAGTCCAGCCATGGTATCAGCTGTTCAATGACAAGGCAGTGAAGGGAGCTTACGAAAGCATTTGTGTGCCATTACTCACTAGTCTGTAGTCATGGGGAATCAAAAAGAACCAAAATATTGAACTAGACACATGAGTAGAGTGCTGAAGGATCACTGGGTTTTCCTTAAAGTTGCATAATCTGCACAAATGACTTCATAAATCATCACTCCTATTGGGTCTAAATACAAATGTAAGTATTTTTTTATTTTCATTTTATTTCCTATATGGCTTAAATATGTATATCCAATAGCACACATGTAAAATCAAAGTTTGTTTTTGTATACAATTGTGGTCGATTACTTAATAAGTCAATACCACACACAGTATGTGAACTCCTGACTCCAACCTATTTTACAAAACATCTTAAATCTGTTTGAAGAAAAGTCCTGTTGCAGCAGCAATTCCTAAAGCTTGTATATCGATCTAATATCAGCAAACTGTTTGGGTACCATCCATTATTTCTTGGCCTGTATGTTTATTGATACACTATTTCCATTGTTCCTGCTTTGCCTTTTATTTCTTGATCTATTACTTGAAATGTTATCTCTCTATATAAATTCTCCAACTTCTTATACTGCTTACAGTAATGATGGCTTAATGCTCTATTTGTTGTTACAGTTGCTTAATTGATTTTATCATTTTATGTTGTTGACTCAACCTGATGAATTGACTACAGATGGAAACTAGCCATAGGCTATAATCTGGCATATTTAGATGTACAGTAGCAGCCATTCAAAATCGCCCTTCCCAGTCAATGCCAGCCGAATGGCAGACTACTCCCCTGCGAATCCCAGCCAAATCACCTCCAACTTCCAGCCACTGGCCTCTCCTGGGCATGCAGGTTTTTTTACTCTGATTCCATCCTTTCACTCAATTACAGTGTCTGACCAGGAGATAACACTTCTCTTTAGATCTTAATGTCCACAAATCATGACAGAAAGAATATTTCAATACAAAGATTTATATTTAAAATGGAATTGTAGGGGGCAAGGCAAGGACCAGACAAGGGCCCATTAAGTAAAGAGAGGAAATTTTGAATGGCTACTACAGTACTGTACATGTCCATTAATTTGCATTGTTAATTTTCTTTTCTTTATAAACAAACCTACACTCAGTTCAGGTTGTGTTAACCTTACAGGCTAAGTTCAGACTCCTATACAGGCTAAGACTTTTTGGTAACCAATGCAAAAAATGTTAAATATAAAGTTTTTTTAGTCATGGTTGCAAACAAGTTTCTCTCCAATGTCCGCTGTTTTTCAAAAGACTTGTATCCTATCACCAGTTAAGAGTTTTTTAAATCAATACTTTACAGTAAGAATCTTAATATCAATTTAGAAAACATTAAAAGTCAGTGGTGGGGCATGCAGGTGGCGCAGTGGTTAGTGCGCACGACCCATGTACGGAGGCCTTAGTCCTTGACCCAGCCGACCCCGGTCTAATCCGACCTGTGGTCCTTTGCCGCATGTGTCTCCCCCTCCTTCATACCCCCTTTCCTGTCAGCCTACTGTCCAAAAAAACTATCCACAAGTTCCGCAAAAAAAAAAAAAAAAAAGTCGGTGGTGCATAGTCAAGTAATTAGGATATTGTGGAACATTGACTTTCATTTAAATGAATTACTGAGTCCTGAAGGATTGCTTTGGTAACACTATTTAAAAAAAATTATAAATAAATGTCATTATCCATTATGAGTTTTCGTCTGCTAAAAATGGAATCAATGAAAAACCCAAATACTTGAATCTCTGGGTGTCTTAATGGCTGCTAAATTTATTCAATTTGTCAAACTATTTTTCATGATAGCCATACTCACTAATCTGCTGTCCCGGAGTTCAGACTTCAGCACATTTTCCAAAGGAAACGCCATGATGTTGTTGAGGTTTTGCACCTGAAAGGTGAAAGTAAACAGCAAATGAGCCAAGAGAGTTCAACCCTTCTTCAAAACATCACATGTGGTCCCCATCAACTGAAACATGAGCCATCAAACACACACACTCAAACATGCAGACAAAATTCATTCAAGGAGTTTTCTATTATTTCCCAGTAGGTCTGCAATTCTGGGAACAAGAATGAATAACCCCACAACATGGAGATGCATTTATTGTAACCTTTTGAGTCACCCAATAAAAAAAAATTGGATCTGAGTAGCCTTGTGTTGTAACTATAACGGTAAAGAGTGCGTTGAAATTAAATTCAGATCTGGACGTTTATCTTCACTTGGCAATACGTTGAGTAAGAGTGAGTCACAAGGCTACAATGGGTTGCCAAACAGAAATTTAATGTCCTAGATGGACCCCAACATTAAAAAAAACAATAATAATTTCAAAACTTTTTAACCTTTGATATAAAACTAATCCTGAACAACTCAACTAGAAGACAACAAATCTGTTTAATGGAAAGAGGTAAGAAAAAAAAACATTCAGTTCTCACTACACTGCATTCTTTGCAACTGTTGCCGTTTAGAAGGAGCTGGCAGACAGGTCAGGTATTTAACAGTCATCTCTGAGCTATGCTATGTCAGCCATATGGATACACCTCACCTCAAGGTTTCTCAGACATACAAAGTTCCCATAAACTGTGGCTGTTATTTGCAGGGAGGAGCCAATTTCCAAATGTAATCACATCTAGACTGCAAAAAATTGGAAATCTAAATAAGATTTTTTTTCTTTAAAAAAGTGCACTTTTTCTTCACTTGAGGAGATAAGTGAGACACTTTGCCAATGGAACAAGACAATGCACATTTGAAATAAGAAAAAAACTATTGCAATATCTTATATCAAGTGGATATTATCTAATTATCTTATTTTTAGAGTAAGAAATACTCATTCCATTGGTAAATCATTTTATTTACCTAATGAAATTAAGGGTAAATACACTTGATTTGAGAACTTTTTACCTATTTCTAGATGGTTTTTGCAGCGTATGACGGCTTCCATTCAGCTATCAGGGAAACAACTACGAATGAATATGATTTTGTGAATAAAACCCATTTTTATTCAACATAGGTGCATGTCCATAAAGTGCAAATGTGACTCAAAAATTTGTTTTTTTTCTGTTTAACTTAGTAACTTTCAAACTGCACGAATAAGTATTTGCAAAAGTTGTTTAGAGAATTAAATTCAAGCAGGCTTTGTGGATTCAAACTTTTTATTGTGTGTAGGTTACAGACATAAAGTCTTTCTTTCACTTTATGAACATGTTCAAAAGCAAAACTGCTAAAAGTAACAGACTTTATTTTCATCCATGTTTGCGTTACCAATGTTGCAAAAGTTATTGGTTTGTGGTAGATTAATACAAATATCCAACATGCTGTGTTGACAGAGCTACCTATGTGAATCCAAGCAGTTCCTGCAACTGGAACAAATACGGATGCATAAGGGGGAGGTATACTGCAGTTATGCCGTACGCAGACATTTTATGCATCTGTATTTGCTAATGTTTTCTGTAAAATAAAGAAGGAAATAGCTTTAAAATGTTTTTTTATGGTCATATTCTTTACTTTCCATAAACCTGATATTTTATAGGTGATCTGAATAGTTTTTTACGCCACATTTAAATAAAATCAACTATTTCTAGACAGGGAAGAAAACCATTTTTTTTTCTTTTGGCTCATGGCCTAGGTACAACATTAGTAATGCAAAGGCTTGCGGTATTGATCTCTTTCCACCGTTTGTGGTCTGCTCTGCTCTAAGATAAATACTGTCCAACCACTTCCGTGAACTGACTGTACAGTCAACCCTGCTATATTACTGAAGGGGCCTGGAAACCAGAGGGACGCTTTGGTTGGCATCCAGGAACGCAGGTAAGGATGTTGATATAAAATTTAGTTCTGATACAAGGAAACACAGTGAATGTGTATCAGAAAAGCAATGAAGCCTGTTACTACTATACACACCTTTAAATAAATTTTGATCAGAAGCATTGCAAGTTGAGTCTGGGGCCACCTACACCTTCTATTGAGCACATTTTCCTCCTGAAGAACCCTTGTTAACCCTTTATACAAAAGCATACTCATGCATACATACCATAGGTGTTTGGTTCGACGTGTTCATGGATACTAAATAGTAAGGCACAGCTACAAATATATACCACCGTGAGTAATATTGTGTAATCACCAATGTACTGACTTGGTATCTAAGAGATACCTGCTGCTCTTGAAGCTATTTTAAAAGTTTACATTTGTCGTCTTTTGTATTCTTTTTGCTGTTGTTTTGTTCTGTTTTCTTTCTTCCTTCTCTTAAGCAGGTGTGGAAGCAGACTTCCAGGAGTTATTGTATATATTTTGCATTGCTTAGTCTGCAGTTTTTGTATTGTCATTTTATTTTCTCTTTTCTATCCTCCCTCTTTTCCATCTCCATCTCATTCTCCCTCCCCTTAATTCTCATTCCCTCTTCCTTTCTCAAATCCCTTTTCATCTCCGTTGTATACAACTTTATTCCCTAAATCACTTTCAACTACTTTTTATATACAAGTATCAAGCTGAAACTTGTAGTAACAATCACAATGGTCTGCGTGTGAAAGCAAATCTGTTGGGCTATTATCTAGCTTTTCAAAATTTATTCCCAGGGCTATATTGGCAAAAAAAAAAGAAAAGAAAACACTGTCAATGTGTATCAGAAAATCAATGAATGCTGTTGTTGCCATGCACCTCTTTAAATAGCTTATTTTGATCAGCGGCCCCACTTTTAACATCTGGTAGGTATCGTCTCTGCTGAGAGGCCCTGACACATGGGGGGGGTATGTTTGGTCAATGTATGCTGCTGCTGACTCACGCATGGAGATCTGGAATAAATTATCTTCACCGCAGAGACTATCAGTGCAAAGGTTCAGTGCACTTCCAGGCAAAAGGTGCAGCTGTTAGAAACCCCTTTCTTAATACACCATTGGTGTTCAGGTTTCACTATTATTTGTGTTTGCAGCTTCTTTTCATCTCTATGTTGTAAAACACCCTATTGTCTAAATCTTGATGAATCAAGTTCCCACTTGCACTTTTCCCCCCTCACCAGGTTTTTGAAGAGTGCCGTGACCTCTCTGGTGAAAACAGCCAAGTTAAGGAAACCTGTGGAGATTTCCACGTTGTCCTGGCTCAAGTGGCTGTTCCCCAAGTTCTCCATCACCTCAATGTACTGCTCCTTGTTTTCCACATGGGCTAAAAAATGAGAAAAAGACAAGCCATGTATGAAGACGGATTTTTCCTACAAATTCAGAAAATCTGATAATAGCTTAAACAAAAATTGTTTGTCCTTTTAATAAGACAATTAGAGCAGCAGACACATGGAAATCCACGTTCCTCTGTGGTTTTAAAGCCCAGGGGTCATGACCCTAGGGAGGATGAAGACTTGGATTGTCATAAGCATTAATTGGTTAGTCAGTTTTGAACTTTTGCTTTCATCTATGACACATCTATTTTGCTTCTTAGCAAAACTCTCATCTTCTCTGTTGATCAGTTTGAAAATAACTAAGAGAATGACATAAATGTAAAACCATCTATATTATATATAAAGTATGAGAAATGTATGTTATTGGTGTGTCTGCTGTATGCAATTTGTGAATGTCTGCTACTTCTTAGCAGTCCTCATTAGCTCAGACTTTACATCTGCAACTTCCTTACTGAGAATTAAGACAGTCCTAAAATAGGATGATGAAACACACCATTAGCACTAGGGGTTAGTATGGGCATGCGTTTTTGCGATATGTGTCACGATACTTGGGTTACAATACGCTATCATCACCATATTGCAATACCACTATACAGTATATTGTGGTATTTTACCCAGTATATGTTCATCAGAATCCATGGTGTTTGCGGGTTGAGTCTTTCCACGTCTTCAACTGTGACTGCCTGAACTACAGAAATAGTGCTGCACCGCACAACAAAAAAGGCAGAGGGTACCCTTATTGTTTTAGATAGAAAAAAATTTTTAAATCGATATTAGGAACTGAAAGATCGATAAAATATTGGCAGCTGAAAATCGCGTCATATCGCCAAATTTATTTTTTTCTGATATCCCTAATTAGCACTAGTTTGGGTTATATTGCCTAACATTTATTTTTCTAAGAAATTTTTAATCTAAAATAAAGAAAATTCTTTTTATTTGAAAGATGTTTAGTTTATTTCCCATTCAAACATGATTGAAACATTATTATAAACCTGGTTGAGAGGAAGTACTTGGGTCTATCCTGAACCATGAAGGTAGTATGTAGTGCTTTTGGGTAGGAGGTTACTAACCTTTTCTTACTGGCAAATTATCTTATTTTGTTTCAGCTAAATTAATTTAAATTCAATGTTATTTCGATGTTGCTGAAATTAAAACTGATGGTTCTATTAAAAGGGATTAAATGTTATACTTATATGTAACGTCAATAAGAAGTTTGGAAGTCTAATCAAATCTAATCAACAGGAGAGGACAGAGAGAGAGCGCAAAGTGTTTTACCTATAAATTAGTGATGCTTTAAAGCAGTCACTGTGATTTTGTGTTAAAATCAGTTTACTGCTGCAAAAAACATTATAGCATTAGCTATAACTAGGTACTTCTGCAACTTTTCCACATTAAGGCTAATATTGCAAATGCTACAACATTAGCAAACAGCTTCCTTAGGACCATCAGGCCTCAACAGACCCTGACAGAGATGGACCAAAGATTAACTGTAGAAACTATCTGTTTTTGTGCTTAATATTACTTGGATTCTTTTTATCTAAACTTCAGGTCAAAATCAGGTGAAGTCCAAAGTATTTCTATCCAAATTACAGTCTTAAATGGACTTGTATTCATTTCCAGATCTTCAAATGTACCCAAACCATTCCCAGCATATCCCTGACCATGAACTTAAACTAAAGTGAAAATAAAGTGAATTAACACCATACCTCTATACTGTACCCTGACATTAAAAATGGGAGTCCACTACATTAGCACCAGCCTTTGGTCCCTACAATCCTGGATGGTCCCCAAAAGGTTAG